CAGGAGAGCATGGGTGGGTGGAAGGTAATCAACCAAAGACCTTGAATGCATATATGCATGGCACTTGGACACAGACAATATGGTGCTGAAAGCCTGGGGCAGGGATGGGGGGTGGCAGGGACAGGCTGGATGAGGGGGCAATAAAAGGCATGCAGGAGGCGCCAATCAATGATTCTCTCTAATCACTGACATTTCTATCTCTCCCTCTCTCGTTCTCTCTTTCTCTCTCAAATCAATAAATTTTTGAAGAAAATAATTATAATAACAACCATATCCAAATTCAAAGACAAGAGAGATTGGATTAAATAGCAAGATCCAGCTATACATTATTGACAGAAGAAAACCAAACTATTTAAATACAAAAACACAAACAGGTTGAATGTATAAGAATAGAAAAAATTATACAATGTTAACCCTAATTAAAAAAAGATAAGAAGATTACATTAATGTCTCACAAAGTAGATTTCAGAGCAGAGCAGAGAATACTGCCAGGGATAAAGAATGTCACCATCATTATAATTATAAAAGAGTCAATTCATCAAGGATATAACAATCCTAAATCCTATACAATAAAAGGCTAATATACAAATTGTCCCCTCAACCAGGAATTCAACTGAGAGTTCAACCAGGAGTTCTACCAGGGAATGGGGGCCCCTCTGCCAGGCCAGGCCAGCCCAGCCCAATCGGCCCCACTAGGTGCCAATCGGGGCAGGCTGGCTGGACCCCACCCATGCACAAATTTGTGCACTGGGCCTCTATTATTTATATACCAGAGCTTCAAAACAGATGGAACAAAAACTAACAGAGGTATAGAAATCCACAATTATTAGATTTCAAAACCCTTCCTCAATAACTGATAAAACAAGTAGCTAGAAAACCAGCAAGAACACTGAACTTGTATGGCATACAACCAAACTGACGTGACATTCACAGGACACTATCCAGTTAGTATCAGAACACTCCTTCTTTTCACGCGTACACAGCAAGTCTGAAACTAACATAGAAACAAAAGCTGCACCTAAGGTCGTTAGCAGTGGAAGTGCGTTCACCGTCCTGCCTGCTCCCTCCACCGCTGCTCGCCGGGCTCAGGGCTGACAGTACGCAGTGTCTTGTTATATTCCCAGCCAGGTTAGCACTCCTGATTCTTAGTACAAATTAGTCCCTCACTATAGTTCACAGTCTAGTTTTAATTGTTAAAGTTCTAAACTTGTATCTTAAGGCTTTTTCCAGCAAAATGATCCTAACTGGAATTATTTTCATATGAAAGGTATTTTATAACAAACTAAAAGTTAAGGTATTTGGTTGTGTGTCAACAGATGGCTGTTATTTGGTTAATGTGTGGCCTTGACATTTTCTTAGGCAAGACCATGAGCCCTGAAACTAAGACAATGTCAGAACATGATAAGAAGGTGCTGGGAATGAGAGCATGTAGCGTGAGCCTTGGTTACTTTCCAAACTCTTCGACATTTGACTCAGAATACTTTCCTTTATTAAAAATCCTAACTAGATATACAAACAGATTGTTCAGACATGAGGACATTAGTAGTCAATCAGAAGTTCATCAGTACCCTTGCTGGTTTGGCTCAGCGGATGGAGTGTCGGCCTGCAGACTGAGGGATCCCGGGTTTGATTCTGGTCAAAGGCACATGTCCAGGTTGCGGGCTCAGTCCCCAGTAGGGGGTATACAGGATGCAAGCAATCACTGATTCTCTCTTGGCATTGATGTTTCTCTCTCTCCCTTCTTCTCCGAAATCAATAATTTTTTAAAAAGTTCATCAGTACCACTCATTTATTATTTTCTACAAAATAACTGACCACGACTGAGTCATATACACATTTTTTTTTTGCTGAGAAATTTTCAATATGAGGTTTGAAATTATTTCTATATCAAAGTTATAATTACAACTTATACTTCTGTTTCACACTGAGAACTGGAGAGGGAAAGAAGGCCCAGGGTAAAAATGAGGAGTATATTTACAAAACCCCAAAAGAAAACCTCTCCAAAAAAGGACAGAAACGAAACTGGATTCCTTCATCAAAGAACAAAAGCGAATAGTGCACTGCTCTCCTGCAGGATGAGAAATACGGGCACAGACACAAATAGCCAGCTGGTTCAGATATATATATATTTATATATATATATATATTTTTTATATAAATAATATATTATATATATTATATATTTTTTTTAAAAAAAAAGATAACTTTAGCAACCAGATAAAATCTGTTCTTACAAAATGCTCTGCTATCTTTAAAATATTTTATTATAGAAAACTCTGGTATCCATAGGTCATTTATTAGGCCTGATCCAGTTCCTATTTCACCTGTCAACCATCTCCTTTAATCACCTTGAGTATCCTTGGTTACCAAATATCTGGACACCAATCCCCCAGATGTTGGATTCTTCAAAACTGAAATCTAACCACGCAGCCAGCCATGTATGGTCACCAACTCCTGGAGTGTCACTACTCGCTTGCAAAGGGTTTAAAGAGTTCGAATAAACAATGTTAAGCACAGAAGTTTTGTGTTTCCTATAAGTAACAAAACTATCATCTATATTAATTATATTTGACTGAAAATACAAGGTCAAAATTTTTCTCACAGACCTTGTAGCAAGTGATACGCTTATAATATCTACTTAGTGGTCATTTTAAATTAGCATAATTAGCACTAATTTTTCAATTAGTGCAGTTTTCCATATTCAAATAAAAGAAGCTTTTTTAAAGGAATTTTTTTAAATATATTTTATTGATTTTGTACAGAGAGGAAGGGAGAGAGATAGAGAGTTAGAAACATCGATGAGAGAGAGAGTCATCGATCAGCTGCCTCTTGCACACCCCCCACTGGGGATATGCCCGCAACCAAGGTACATGCCCTTGACTGGAATCAAACCCGGATCCCTTCAGTCCCCAAGCCGATGCTCTATCCATTGAGCCAAACCGGTTTTGGCTTTTAAAGGAATTTTTTAATAAAAGTGTCATGTCACACCAGACATGTAAGTCTAAAGCTACAGTTTATGCCTAACAGGCAGCAACATTAGCAGTTGGCAAATTTAAAAGAAAAAATTTGGAGCAGAACACCAAATTAATTTTTTATATAGGATTCAATATATCTTCAATTTATAATTGAATTTATAATCATCACTTAAAACTATTAAACTAAGAGCTGCATGTAATGGAGGTGATGAGGCTCCTTGTTGCTTGGCTTCTCGTTTAACTGCCAATGGCGGGCTGCTGCGGGCTGCGCTCCTGGGGTCAGGCTCTGCCTGCGGGAGGCATGAGACAGAGGAGACGCCACAGCCTGGAATCCGTGGGTAAGCACACCCTCTATTCTGGTCTGATAAGCTTCTCAGCCAGTAAATCAAAGTCCCGTTATACAGCAGGATAATAGTCGTGACAATTCCCTATATTTTATCTTCTTAAAATCAAAGACTCACTTCTAAAGCGTTAACAGAGGAATTACAAAGTAACTCCCAAGTTTGCATTTCCCATAATACTAAATAAAGCTTATTCTTTTTGTCTAGAAATGTGCTTTTTTAACGCTGTGAAAAGCCTCTATGAATCTGTTCAGTGCACTTACTCCTTTTCATCTATTCAGTGCCACTGGCATAACAGGTAGTGCGTGCGTGCTGTGCCGGCGGAGCACGTGACCACTGCGCCTAATGCACGCCATTAATCCTGTTTGGACAGCTGGGTCCGGGCATTTGTTAGCTGCCTTTTAATTGTTCCATCTTCCCTTTTCTCCTTTTTATTTATCTCTATGGCAAACTACTCAGGAATTTAATGTGTTGATCTTCAAAAAAGCAAATTTTGCCATTAATTTGTTTTCTTTGTATTAAAACTATACGCAGCATGTAATTTTCTTTTGTAAATAAGCATATGCTAGTACCGCTGTGAACAATTTTAAATAAGAGCACAAGTGACCAAATGGTAGGGTAGCTGTAATGTCACAGAATTATTTGTTAAACTGTCATGATACATATGACATTTGGCTACAAATCAAGGAATGGAAGTGCATATTTTGGCATTTTCAGATCAGCACACCACAAGCAGATGTCAAAACAATAACAGTCCTGTAAGCGAACACAAAAGGGCGAGGAGTGAGCGAGCTCCGTGTCAGTCTGTGGAGAGCGGGCCCTCTCCATTCATCAGAGAGTTCCCTCTTTATTAAAACACAAAATTCCTGTGAGAATTAGAGACTAAGATGCGCCTGCTTTCTGGCCCGGCCCGCATCCTGATGGGTGCGTCTTGAATAAATGATGCTGCGATACGAGCTGAAACAGAGGAGCTCGGCCTTGTCGTTGTGAGCAAGTGGCTGAGGCTGAATGATGGGATGCTTCCTAATCGGTGGTGAGCACTCTCAGGTCAAACCCTCAGTCTAGAAAGCGAACCTCCTCCTGAACACTGAGCAGCACTGAGCCCAGGCATGAGCACCCAGCCACAGGGCTACAGGTGGGGAGCGGCCACAGGACGACTGCCCAGCCACAGAGCAATGTGGGCACACTTTACTTTCAGAGAATCAAAATTCTGTAAACAGGAAAACTTCGTGAATGGCAGGCATGTGAGGTCCTTACACTGAGGGCTGCTCTTTAAGTCCCTGTGGTTTTCCTTTATGCCCACTTCACAGCACAAAGCAGCTTAAAATAAGGCTGACACATTTTCAATTTTTTAAAACACAATCATGTTATTTCATATTAAGAAAAACTAGTTTAATATTTTCTAATCATTAAACATTTTAAAAAATAAAAATCAGTTTCCTTACTAGAGACTAAAAGCTTAACTAGTCAGTAAACAAAAAAAAAGTTCACTGTTTTGAGAAGACACATTATAAAGATTTTTAAAAAGTGCCTTCGTTTGATAAAAGCGCTTTCTGGTGTAGCCCCACGTAACGAAGTCCAGGAGTAAAGGCAGAAAGTAGGGGTCATGGTGTGTCTCGAGGAATGACCTTTAGAAGCTGGAGTTAAGGAGTGGAGTGGAGCGGAGCACCCCTCTTGGACTCACCCAGGGTTCTGGACATCACAGGCAGAGCTGAGCTCAGGACCAGGAGCGACACGCAGTTCCCGATGATCTGCCAGGAGACAGGAGAGCAGCAGGGGTCACCCACCGGATGATAAATGGAACCCGCCACCTCGGGGTGCTGTTCACTCCAGGTGTCTACTGTACCTTGCTAACTGCTTAATCATACTCTTCACTATAGAATTTAAAAAGAAGAAGGAATTGCCCATAGACAATGAACGCCCTATCTGTAAGTTCTAGAAAATCTTGGTAGTGCCCGGCACAAATATAAAGCTACAGAACACTTAAGTTACTTTACACCTCAGACAATGGATTTTACATCATTGATTGATGCTGCCAATTTCAAAACAGCTTGCTTGTCAAGTAAAAAAGAATTAATGCCTGCCTGGCCAGCCTGGCCCAGTGGTTGAGCATCAACCTATGAACCAAGAGGTCATAGTTTAATTCCTGGTCAAGGCACATACCCTGGTTATGGGCTCAATCCCCAGTGTGAGGTGTGTAGGGGCCAGGAATCAATGATTCTGTCTCATCATTGATATTTCAATCTCCCTCCCCCTCTCCTTTCCTCTCTGAAATTAATAAGAATATATTTTTTAAATAATTAATGCATTTAATATCTCTGTTTTTAAAGCCAACTACTGCTCACAATTTATATAAGGTCTACCTCTAATATTTTATGTTATAACATTTTAATATCAAAAAGCACAAAATCCAAAACACATACATTCTAGTCATTCATTTTTAATTTACCCTATGCTTATCTATAATAATAAAAGCATAATATGCTAATTAGACCAGATGTCCTTCCGGATGACCTTCTGGACAAAGCTGGGGTTCCGAGGGAAGCCCAGGTCCCCGGTGCCCGAGGGCATCGGTGCCAGCAGCCGGGGAAAGGAAGGCCCGCTCCTGCACAGATTTCGTGCATTGAGCCTCTGGTTCTTTCATAATAAATAAGAGCTGGAAATGCTGATTAGCCTGTGATCACTTAAGCTCAGAGTCTCAGAAACTCTGTGTGTTAGCTACATCAATAGATGAATAGGAAATAAGTTCCCTCTTAAAACAGGTCAACAATATGAAATATTTAGTAAAACTGAAGAAGCCCGCAGCTCCTATAGCTGCCCCTCATTTCAGCCGGTGGGAACGTTTTACAGAGCAGCAGCCATTGTGCCACAGCCTGTGCCATTCCGAAGCCAAGGACATATTGTAGGAAGTCAAATCAGCCTCAGATTGCAAAATGTTTCTGAATAGGCCTCTTCCGTCTTGCTTTAATTATTCAAATTTGAAACACTTTGTCTCCACTACTTGTAGCAACAGAGGTTCTTCAGATCTCAAAAGAGCTCCCTGAAGTGCAGTCAGCACAGTCCAAGTGACTCATTAGCGGAGCATTTTCTTTGGAGGAAAAGCGTCTTTTCAGAACCTCTGTGCCAGCTAACAAGCGCGGCTCCTCCGCATTTACAAGTGAATGGACGCCGGCCAAGCCACACAGGGACCCCGGCAGCCCTGCCCGCCGCGCCTTCACTGTTGCGCCATTTGCACAACCTCTGCCACGAAGGAAGCGCGGGCGATCACTAAATGGCAAGGCAAAGGGGAGGCACGACTTTAGCTTACCTTTGTCATGGTCGTGTCATCCTTCTTGGGAATAAAGTCTCCAAAAAAGCGGAGGCTATAGAAACCGACGACAGAGGACACCATCAGATAGCTGTGAGAGTCAAGGAAAACACCTCCGAAGAATGTGGCTGCCTCGCTCAGTCTCCAAGTCTGAGGCCCAAAGGAAACTCAAAACAAAACGAAAAGCCACTTGGAGTGCCTGGGGAAGAATGCCTTGTTTTTCTCCGGGGCAAGTGTCTTAGTGAATTACCACTGTCCCAGAAAACGGGACAGAAAACCTGTTAACAGACAGAGTGCCAGTGAAAGAAAGGATACAAAATCAAAATGATTTCAAGTGCCGCTCCCACAAAACCAAAAGCAGAGAGCGAGGCATTTCCTATCCCAGGCCCCTGGGGGGAAAAACACTTTTCAGAATTTAATGACACTATTTATTTGGTTTCCCTAAAACTGTCGTTTCACAAATACAGGACAGCTGAAATTAGGAACTTGGTCTAGTAAAATGTGACATTAGACAGAGTTATCAGCTAACTCAACCACATGTTAACAATTTTAACAAGCTCGACATTTGACATTTGATTTATTTCAAATTTAAGTTACTTATCAAAATAATATGATTATTTTGTTAATTCTTCAATGTGCTTGGAAGAAATCTTTAAAAAATGTAACTGTTAGGACTACAGGGTGTGGACGTAAAGGGGCTACACGCTAGCCTGACTAGTCAGGGGAGGACTGTATGGAGGGACTTACAGTAACCAGAAAGGATGGCCTGAAATTAAAACTTTTTAAAATTAAAAAGCAGTTTATGGTGGGCAGTCGTGTCCTAGGCCGGTATCTTCCCTGACAAAGATCAACTTTCATCTTTACTGAGCCTGCTGTCCTTTTGCAGCCACACCCCTGTGGAATGTCAGGGTAGCCTGTAACTTCCTTTTTTGGGGACCCCTTAGGGCACAATAACGCACCAGGGTGGAGACCACAGAGCCCCTCATTCCTGCTCTCAGGCTAAGAGCTGGCTTTGCTGTCCTGCACCCGCCTATGCGGAAGAGGCCTCCGATCATCTGCTGTGTTTTCTGGGGAGATGGTGGGGCCAGCACCTCCGTGGTGCCCTGGAAGCACCACCTTCGTGATCATGGTAGGTTAGTATCTATCATTTTACTTCCTTCCCAATTCCAGAGGCTTCCCGCTTTGCTTTCTCCCACCTCCCTCAACACCAGTGGATTCCATGAACCCACCTACATCTCCTCTGAGGTACTTTGTAAAACTAGGTAAAAACTGCTGTTCTCGGGAGCATTATCTCAGTACGTTGAGATTCTGCTTCCCAGCTATTGTCATCAGTTTGGCTCAAATAAACTCATAAAAATTCTTTACAGATTTGAATGTTTCTTACGTAACAAGGGCAATACAATCCTTAACGGCCAACCCCCACCCTCACCCCATCCCCGCTCTACCCCCAGTAGACAAAGACCAGGAAAAAGAATGGAGACACCAGGAGTCAGACCATACAAGGAACTGAAACTGTCCTGAAGACACTTGATCACACACATGCATTCCACCCGCATTCCAAGCCCACCGACCCAGCCCCCAATCCACTGGCGACAAGTGTCCCGCCAGTGACTGTGTGTAAGGATGACACTCCAGCTCCTGGGCTGCCATTGTCGGTTCGGTGCTGTGCAGCCCTTTTCCTAAATAAATTCAATTTTCTTTAATCATTCTCAGAGGTGGCTATTTAGCCTTCCCCAACAGACCACCATGCTAAACTTCCATGCTAACCTTTCAATAACAGTATAACAGGAATAAAATATGTAATTATCCAAACTCTGAAGTGACATATAAAAATTATACTATTAAAGTATGTCAAAAGTAAGCTATGCACAGAAAGAAGGTGAATGTGCATACCCCGTTTCTAGTCCTTAGAAATAAATGTCCTTTCCTCAACTCTTCCTTGGAAACTGGGAGTTTTAAAAGATGTAACTTAATAAACCCGGATTTAAAAAAAAGTAATTTTTTTACTAAACATTGTACCTATTCTCAAAAACTATCTTTATCTAGGACTTAAGAAAACAAACAGAATGAGACCAGAGAGGAAAAAATTATTTCTTAATGAAGTAGGAACAATATTTTCACAGCTTATTAATTAAAGGAACTACCCGGTTTCCCCGAAAATAAGACATTGTCTTATATTAATTTTTTCTCTCAAAAAATTAATTGCACTAGGTCTTATTTTCAGGGGATGTCTTATCTTTCCATGCGCTAGGTCTTATTTTCTGAGGATGTCTAATTTTCGGGGAAATGCGGGTATATGAATATGAAAGACTTATTTACTATCAGCTTCTATTACATCTAAGAGAAATACCAGGATAAAATAAAATGTATAGTCACACTGAAAAAAAATAAAAATAAACCAAGAAATAATAAATATTCTCTCTACATCCTCACTTAGGCATAGGAAGCACTGACTGCACTGGGACTCGCAGGCTGCCCCGAACATGATCGTTTCCAATCAGCTGCTGGAGAGCCCCCGTACAGGAAGCTCACTCCGGCTCCTGTTCCCACACAGGAACAAAGCTCCCTGTGCCAGGGAGAGCGAGCTCAGGACTGGAAGTTGCTATACAAACAAGCTTTGTTACTTCTTCAATTAAGTCCCTAACCCAAACACAAACTCTTTGCTTTGTGCATCTTCATAAGTAACTGTCTCTTTGTCTACGAATGGTATACATACTCCCTGCTTTGATCATTTTTGATGTCTCATTCTATGGGGTCTCCTTATGCACTTATATAATTAAATTTTATTTTCTCCTGTTTTTCTGTCTTTTGTCAATTTAATTCTTAGACAAAAGAACCTAGAAGGACAGAAGGAATATTTTTTCCTCCCCAACAACTGTGATGAAAAACATTTTGGAACTATTCCCTGTCTTCAGAGGCCTACAGGTAGGAGGATTAAGGTGACCTGATTTATTTACACAATCATACAAGGAGCCTACCAGGTATAAGTCCCTCTCCACTAAGACGTAGGTTTACTTAGTGGATAATATATATCAATAAGAATGGGTTAAAAAGTAGCTAGAAGTCAACACAGGAGGTGACTCCCGCTCTATCAGTGGGCCTGGGAGTGAACAAAGACAAAGCCGGGCTGTGGAGGAGGAGGACACTGTGCTGCTTCCAGGGGAGGAGGCACTGGAGCTGCGCTGCTCACGCTGCGGAGAGCGCAGCAGGGACAGATGGCACCACGTCCTGGAGCGACGTGAGGGCATCTAGACCAAGAACCAGGGATGGATGAATGGGTTCTGGGAGGCACAGGGTATCTTTATCATAGACCGAAGGGAAAGAATAAAGACAGACAATGGCTTTTCTCTATGAGAGAACAGGTGTGGCAGAGAGAGAAGGGCATCAAAAGTCAAAGTTCTTAAGTCATTTCTATGAGGAATGGGGAAGTGGCTGACTTGGAAAAATATAAAAATATAATAAATGTCAAAACTTAAATGTTACTTAAAAGTTTAGAGACACCTAGAAAAAACTATGCCAAATATGAATTTTTGGTGGTAACTACCTTCTTGATGGAAAATATATTCAAATCGGCTAATTGACAGAATTTAATAAAATCATCAGTCTTTTAACAAGAGAGAAAACTAAGTTAACTCATAAAAAGATATACCTCTGACTCTCATCAGTAAATGAACATTTCGACTCAGTATCATAAAGTGTGGACTCTCCTGAAGCGGACTCCCGTCAACCACACAGCTGCATCTCTCACACACCCAATGTATCCATTTAATAAATTCTTCATCTATCACTATTTCAGAGTGTACATTTTTTTTTAAAGAATCACAAGTAATGAATTTCAGTAAAACGAAAAACTCTGATATGAAGTGTATCTGATTTTTTATAAAAAAAAGCCCATCCAATCCAAAGTAAGATACCAGAAACAAAACCATCTATAATAATGAAAGCATAAATGTTAATTAGACCAGACAGCCGAAGGACCTCCCGGATGGCCTTCTGGACGACCTTCCAGATGAAGCAGGGGCTGCAAGGGCCGAGGCAGCCGCTGCAGCTGCGAGGGCTGAGACCCTCACATGAATTTCATACATTGGGCCTCCAGAAGTTTACAAATGCTGTTTATGAAGGCTCCTTGCATAAAGAAACTCACACAACTTAAAGTGCATGCATACAGAAAGGTGTCTGTTTTAACTGGCTTATGCAGAATGCTTTTGCAAAAGAAAGCCATGTTAAACATTCTACTTTACCCTCGTTCCCTTTGGCATTGCTGTTTCATCAACCAACAGGCAAAGGATATTACAAGCCACCAGGATGACCGAGATGGACTACGACACAAAAAGTCAATCGTCAGTTCTACATTTCAAAGACATTTTGCCAATACATATATATTAAAATCTAAGTGGAAAACCAACTGTATGTTTCAGAGGAGAGGAAAAGAAGTCTAAACAAAAATTCTACATATAACCCTAAAGTCATTAGACTGCCTACAAAACCCCAGAATAAATTCTAAAACATTCTGTAAATTATTATAATTTCAAAACTTGTGACAAATGCTAATCACACAGATCCGCTTATTCACTGATCTCACCCACTGAAAATCCAAACCCCATCTCCCTCCCCCCACTGAGAAACAGTTACAATCCATCAGAACTGGCTCTCTGACTCCCACCAACGGCCTCCCGTCAGCCTGACCCTCTCCTGTACCTCCTCGGCTCTGCATTTCCAATGAAACAAAGAATGAATTTCCTGCTTTCACGAAGAAATAGATAAGCTTGAGGACTTTTAAAAAATTACTATTCATTTCTGTTTGGGTTCTATCATGTTTTTGCACATAGAGGCATGGATGCATTTTAATCTTATTGATAAGAAAATTAGTTTACCTGCATCGCTGAGGGAGTTGCCATTTTCAAACAGTAAATATAAAATAATTTGCTTTATGCATCCAGGCAAATCAGTTCCTACCGTCTCAATGAGAAGGAGAACCATAACCGCAGGATACACCAAATTTCTTTCCCAAGCCGATGCCTTCTTTCGCCTCTCTAGTAAGAGAAACAACACAACAAAAGATTTCAGAAATAGCCAAAAATCCTCTCTACATTCCCATTTTTATTCCTTACTACTATAGCTAGAATGCTTTATTCTTATATAATTTTTTAAAGAATTATTTTACTTTTCTTCCACAAACTATAAAAATCAGAAATTTAGAGTTAGTTTGCTACATTAAACAACTTAGTTCTGTGATACTTAAATTTTAGCTCTTTAAAGACATTTCCATTGCTAATGAAATAAATTGGTAATTTATAGCTTACTCTGAAAATATAGAAATATTTGTATTTGACATGAACTTACATATTGACATGGATTTGAATGATTAAAGTAATAGGAGTAAAAATCCCCTCTATTCTCACATCCCAAAGTCATCACTCCCATTTCTAGAGGCTGAGGGCAAACTTCCACTTTGGGCTGCCAGGGGCGACCTCACGTCACAACCGTCCTGGCCATAAACAACTGGAGAAGGTGGAGCAAACTGATTTTATTAAAAACCTGTGTGAAGGTATCAGAATTACCATGACAATCCACACTGAGGGCTAGTGTTCTGCAAAATGAATGCACACTCCTTCCCCCCACATTTTCCAGAGGTAACTGCATGGACCCACAAGGCTGAGAAATAAGCAGAAATCAGTGGGTGAAAGAAAACCAACTTTCCTAAAGCAAAGCTTTCAGCAAACTCAGCAGGGCCAAGGAGACAAAAACGGAAGTTTGGGGCCACTGCGCCGCCAGCGCTTGAGAGGCTAGGCTCACAGAGTAGAGGAGGAAGGAGGGCTGGTGCAGCTCTGGGCAAAGAAGCCAAGCTGGGCTCCACCGGGCTCATGTTTCTTAAAAGGTAAAACTAGAGTTCAAGGTTCAGGAAGAAGACACCATGATAGTCAACAATAAAACAACCGCTTTCAGGACCATGGAAAAGCTATGTTCCAGGAGCAATACCAAACTGGAACTAGACCAGCCTAGAAAAGACCAAAACCCAGTCTCAAACTCTCTCAGATTAAAGGGATCTGTCTCTACTCTTAACGGCCTACCAGAAGCTAAAGTAAATCCTTTCAAAAAAGAAGAAAATATCAACCATGTTTCTACAATGACATAAAAAATGTCTAGCGTTTAATCAAATTTTATCGGGAGATAGAACAAAGAAAAAAGAACAGAAACACTGTCAGCTGATCCAGATTTTGGACTTACCAGGAAGTGGCCTTAAAATAACTGATTACCATGCTCAATAAGACAAATGATGAGATGGCAAATGTCACAAATTGAATCTAGAAAAATAATCAAATGGAATTTCTAGAACTGAAAAGAATACTGTAACTAAAGATGAGTGTGATCATTTTGACAGCAGTTACAACTGCTGGAAGGAAGATCAGTAGAAAGACAAAGACAAAAGGAAATCTTAGCAGCCCTCCCCAAGGGCACAAAGACAACTTTGGATGGCATCTTTACAATGATGAAAATTACCCAATAAGAGTTGAAATTCCATGTAAACGCCCCCACAAACAAGAAAGCAAAGTAAAAATGTTTTCAGATAAACAAAAACTGAGAGAATTTGTTGCCAGCAAACCAGCACTGAATGAAATACTTACAAATGTTTTTCCAGCAGAAGCTAAATGAACTCTGGAAACACAAATCAGGGTCATGCAGGCTGAAATACCAAGTCGGATGCCCTGAACTGGTACAAATGGAGAAGCCCAGCCCTGTGGACTGTTGGCAAAGATGAGGGCAACAGGGAGCCTTCTGGTCCCTCGCAGGAATATAAGGAACACAACTACCTGGGAAAGTTTAGTGTTATCTGAAAACGTTGTACAGAACACCCAGTGATCCTATGATTTCACTTGAACCAAGAGATGCGAGAAGAGTGTCTATACCAATAGTATTCACATTAACACAAGACTGGAAACACATCAAACATCCATCAACTGCAGGATGAAGAAAATAACCTGCAGCAATGTAATGATGTTTATGAAATTAAAATGATTGAACTGCATATATGATTTTCAACAACTTAATATTCGACTTGCCCTTCTGAAGACAGAGTAACAACAGGGGCCAGAGTTACTGTCCAGCCTGAAACATTTTAAAGACCAAAAAATACATGGATGTGAAGACAACAGTTTTCAACTGGGACATCTGATCACTGAAGGGCAATAGCCCTGAAAGATGAGGAACAAACGCTGCTAGCCCTGTGTCTGCCCGGCTCACGGTCTGGGAGAGCTTCCAGGCAGGCCCTCATGCAGGAGGGGGGACCCCAGTCCCTGAGTTGAGGGCATACAATGGGGTCTGAAGACACCAAGTCAGCGGGATTTTGCAGAGCAAGTGCCAGAGGGGAGACAATTGCATAGAGAAAAAACCCAAGGACTGGAGCAGGATGTCGATCAGCTGAGGGATGTGAAGAAAGCACCCACGGCTGATGAAAGAACCAGCCAAAATGAGTGAAAGGAACAGCATCCAACAATCATGAAGGGTCAAAAATCATCTGCTCCCTCAAGACACTGGGGCACTGGGTAGAATGCTTCGAAGGGTCTTGCGTCAGTCGCAGGAAACTATTACTACCGTGTTTCCCCGAAAATAAGACATCCCCTGAAAATAAGACCTAGCGCAACTTTGGGAGAAAAAATTAATATAAGACACTGTCTTGTTTTCGGGGAAACAGGGTAGTAGCCCTAGCCCAGTGGTCAGCAAACTCCTTAGTCAACAGAGCCAAATATCAACAGGACAACAATTGAAATTTCTTTTGAGAGCCAAGTTTTTTAAACTTAAACTTCTTCTAACAGCCACTTCTTCAAAATAGACTTGCCCAGGCCATAATATTTTGTGGAAGAGCCACACTCAAGGGGCCAAAGAGCCGCATGTGGCTCGAGAGCCGCAGTTTGCCGACCATGACCATACAAGATGAAATGTCATTCTGGCCCAGCCTAACAAGTCTTCAAGGAAAGACCTGATAATACCAAACTGTTTCTAAGTAACTTCACTGCATCCCAAAACAAAGCTCCTCACTTACAGAAACACAAAAATATTAGCACTAACAATGTAAGAGTCACAGTAGCTATTGGGTCGGCAAGTAAGTAATTGCGGATTTTTTAAAGAAAATCAAAGACAATTTTTTCATGGAACTAAATAACTTTATTCTGTAATGTATTGCCCATTTTGATCAATGACCTTTTGCCATCTTTCAGGCAGCATCATAATCCCACGTTCAAAAAACTTCTGGTTTTTATTAGCAAAAAACTGAATCAGGTACGATTTGACATCATCATCATTATTGAAATTTTTACCATTCAAGGAGTTTTGTAAAGATCAAAACAAAAAGTAATCAGATGGTGCAAGGTCAGGACTATATGGTGGATGTGGCAAAACATCCCAACCAAGCTCCATTAATTTTTGCTGAGTGACCAAAGATGTGTGTGGCCTTGCATTGTCATGATGGAATACAACACCTTTTCGATTTGTCAATTTGGGCCACTTTTCTTCAACTGCATTGTTTAATTTCATTAGTTGTTCAATGTAGACATCAGAATTGATCGTTTGGTTGGGTGGTAAGAGTTCAAAGTAGACAATTCCTTTGTAATCCCACCAAACTGATAACAAAACCTTCTTTTGATGAATATCAGCTTTTGATGTTGTTTGAGTTGGTTCACCTGGCTTGCTCCACGATCTTTTCCGCTTGATATTGTTGTAAACAACCCATTTTTCATCGCCAGTTATCAGTCGTTTTAAAAATGGATCATTTTCATTACGTTTCTTTAGCAAATCGCAGCTGCTAATGTGTTGCGTTAACTGTGATTCTTTCAGTTCGTGAGGAACCCATGTATCGAGTTTTTGAACATAGCCAAGTTGTTTTAAGTGATTTTCAATGCATGTATGTGATACATGAAGCTTCTCTGCAATCTCACGTGTTGTACTGTGACAGTCCGAATTGATTATTGCTTTGATTAGGGCGTCATCAACTTCAACTGGACAACCAGAGCGTTTTTCATCTTTGAGTGAAAAATCACCAGAATGAAATTTGGCAAACCAATTTTGACACTGCCGTTCTTTTAAGGCTTCGTCACCATAAACAGCACATAACTTTTTATGAGCTTGCGATGCGTTTTTCCCTTTGTGGAAATAAAAAATCAAAATAAGACGAAAATGTTCCTTTTGATTTTCCATTTTTCAACGAACGCCAAACGAAAACTACAAAACAGATCAAAAAACTTTTTTTACTGATTAACAGCTGAATAGCCAACTATCAAATAACAAAATGTGTTTTACATTTTTACTACGTCTGCAAACCTAAAAATTCAACTGAAGCCATATATGTGTGAAACCCGCAATTACTTACTTGCCGACCCAATAGTATCCAAACTTGCCATGCATGCAAACAGGCACAAACATATAGTAAGTCAATCAATTAAAACTCTTCTAGAATAAACACAGATGTTAGAATTAGCAGACAAAAACATTAAAAGTATTATTAAAACTGTATTCCATATTTTCAAAAAGATGGATATCAAATTAAAGATGCTAATTAGACATATGGAAAATATATAACAGGCCTAAACAGAACTTCAAGAGATAAAAATTGCAGTGTCTGAGAAAAAAATAAAATAGGTGGGATTAAAGACAGACTAGACACTCAGAGGAAAAAAATTAGTAAACATGAAGACATAGCAATACAAACTACCTGAAATGAAACACACAGAGGAAAGAGAAAACATGAAAAATTAGGGAACACCCTTGAGTTAGAGGCAACTTTGTGAGAGCTATTGCACATGGAATTGGAGTCCTTGGAGAGGGAGGCACAAAGAGAAGAAGGAAAAACACTTAGAAAAGTAATGGCAAAAAGTTTCCACATGAGATGACAATTACAATTTCCCAGGTCAAAAAAATCAATGAACCCAGAGGATAAGAAACAAATAAAATTACTCAAAGGCACATCACAATAAAATTGTTTTAAATCAATTGTTCTAAATCTTCTGAAAAGAAGATAAAGACACAATAAAAGATAAAGATGACAGATGATTACTTGTCAGGAATAATACAAGTAAAAAGACAATAGAACGACACCTTTAAACATCAGTTTGTTTTTAAAATTCATCTTGTAAACATAAAAAACAAAACAAAAAGTGAGTCAATGCCTGCTTATCCTCTCCCCAAATGGCTTGGACAGATTGAAAGCTTGTAACTTCAACTAAATATTTCATATGTTTTTTAATATTTCAGACTACAGGAAAGACTTTAATAAGAAATCCAGTCAAGGGGGAAAATGTACCTAATTTTGTCTTAAAAATCTTTACATTTTCAAGTTCTTGTTCCAGCTCCATTACATTGTAGTCCACGGATGAAGACAGTCCTGTGGAAAGCAAACATATACGTAAAACAACAGAACCCCTAGGAGCACAGAACAGTGGCCCTCACAATAAATTAAAATATAAAAGTAACCCATTGCAAATGCTGAGTAGAGAGAATGAAAACAATGCTGCTGTGATTTACAGAAAAGGACTTTTTTTTAACCACTTAAAACGTCCAAATTCTTGATGAAACACTAAATGTTTCCTAGAAAATGTATTACTTTGGTAAAATTATTAATGGATCTATTATTAATTTTTATTAATTATAAAAGTATGTGCTTATTATAAAGTAATAGAAAAGCAAGATCTCTTCTCCACCCCACCTTCCCACAGTGACAACAGTTGACCGTGTGGTTGCGTCCACGCCTTTCTTCATGTTCAGGTGCGTATTCACACACTCACATGTATGCATGGGGTTTATAAGAATGGGTTGAATCAGATGCATTATTTTTCCACTTGCTTTCCTAGTCAATGATGTGTCCACATTGACAACGACAAGTCCTTAACAGCTGAATATGTATTATTCCAAGGTGGGGACATCCTTCAGCTTTATTCGAGATTATTCCACTTATGAAGTCAAATTCCTCCGATGGTTTGATACAAACAACGCTGCAGTGCACACATCTACAGGCACCCAGGTCATCTGCTCTGTTACTTCTGTAGCACAGATTCCCAAACACACTCTGCTGAGTTAAAAGTGTGAGCACCGACTGACATAAGAGATATTTAAAGGTTACTTCCCCCCAAATATTATAATCCTATATAATAAAAGCCTAATATGCAAATTGTCCTCTCAACCAGAGTTCCACTGGGAGTTCAACCACTAGACCAGTCGCTAGGATGCTTAGGAGATGAGAACTGCCCCTCCATCCTTCACTGGAGACACACCCGACACCCTCTCGCTCGGGGCCCTGAGGTCTCAAATGCCCTGGAGTGATACCCGGTGTCCCCAGAAGTCATGAATTTAATCATTTTACTCTCGATATACAATTTATAAGAGAACAGGGATGAAGACAGTACAGAGATATTCAAGTAGTGTGTCCCTAAACTACTCAATATTAACTACGAAATTCAGAGTTTCTGGTAGGCAAAGCAAAAAAGAAAGGAATTAAGTTACAAAGTTAATGCATATTTCCACTTAACAGGAGATCTACAGGAAGGGGGCAGAGCAGTGTACCATTTTCAAGTGTCTTTGAATAGTCTTAGAGATAAGCACATTTTACTTTTTATAGGGTAATGCTCATTTAACTTCTATGTGATTAATTACCAATACAATTCCAAATACATCCCATTCCCTCTGCCTGTAAAGAAATGTTATTCCAGTAAGCAGTCCAGGACTACAAAAATCATGTGAGAACATCGCGAACTCTGAAAGGAGGCAGCTGTCAGAGCAGAAGGGGTTGCTGCTGCCACTTTAAAATTAGGAAGCGAGACACTACTTGGGGGGCTTGGTGTCTACCAACCTCAATACAAATGCCTACACCGACCAGTGTGCTGTTTTTCCAAGTAAAATCGTGAAAGTGGTATTCTGGAATGCTGTATGTTTGTTTAGGGTAACACATACGAGGTACACAGGAGGCAGTTAATACTGACCTGCACACAGAAATCAAGAAGACATTCTAACTGTCCTCAGAGAAATAGTGCTTTCATGAAATGTCCAGCTTCATCTGGAATAACAGATCTCAAAGCCACCACCCTGCCAGGCACCACCGCATCCCCGTGAGCACAGCCACCTTTGGTGGGGCAGAATGCTCCTCGGGAAGTGACCAGAGGAAGGATGGCGCTGGGAGGAACCATGACAACTGCAAACAAGCCCTGGAATGGCACACTCACTTAAGTCGCACCAACGAAAGCACCTGGATATCCTGCAGAACTGTATCACCGCCACTTCACTTCAAAACGACGGAACGCTCACCGTCAGCATCGTCTAGTCAATAAGTCCAATTGGTAGACAAAACCTGTTTGGGCTAGTCAGGAGAAATAAAAAGGGATTCTCCAAGACAACCACAAGGCAGCTCATTTAAGGTCAATTTAACGGTATTATTCTGTTTTCCTTCCAGCCTCACACAAGACTTCACTGCCTCAAAGGGACCTGTAAGAGTATCTATTTGCATTCCCCCAGGTGATCGGCAGTTCAACACCAATTAGTTCAAAATTACGCTGTTACCTGCGCGCAGTAAAAACAATGCCTTTCATCTTCCTCACGTCGGTAAGAATGACTTCTGAGCCAATAACTTTGATCAAATAAGTATTTTTGATCCTACTCCACCCGTCTCTTTGGATGCAGGAAAAGGAATAGCTGAAGGCAACTTTCCCAGCTTCAGTCTGAAGCTGAAAAACTAGTGTGCTACTGAAAATATTTTCATATTTTGCTTCCAAGATAGCAGTTTCCCAAAGCCCAGCATTTCTTCAATAACTGATCTGACCTTATTCAATTTCTTAATACATAAGACAGCCCTGACTGATATTCATGTGTTCAAAAGCAGACACTAACAATTTAATTTAGAATATTCAATGTTGCATTTCTTAAAACAAATCTAAGCCTCCAGCCTGGTATGTAAACAATCCCAAACCATGAAGCCATAGGAAGGTAGCCCTAGTGGAGCAGTGCCCTAACCTTAGTTTCATATTTGGAAGTAGATACCTCCAGAATAAACAGATTATTTTCTTAATCTACGTAAAGTTTTTATTATACTTTGTACTTTAAACTGACCAAGGTGATCTCTACAACCAAGAATGTGAGGTCACTCAAGTACTTTCAATCACTTCAGATCACTTAGGCAAACCATTTTGTTGCTAAGTCCCCAGGCTCCGGGCCCTCAGCGGCGGGCACCGGCTGCAGCCGCACGGAGCCCCGAGAAGACCCCAGCACTTGTGAAAACAGAAGCCTGGATCCTTAGCTCCCACAGCTCTCCGGCAGGACAGACACTTCCTCTCCAGAAGAGACAGACAACCCATACACTCCTCAGCTCCATTTGAATGCTAATATTTGTAACAATAAGAGTTTCTATTTACTTCTGACATAGCCACAAATATATGACTAAGTAAAGAACATAAAACTTTCAATATCCAGCACAATTTTAAAAATGTAAACATACTTTCACTATAAATGATGACACGCAAGATAGAAAGTTTGAAACAAATTTGCAATTAAAGTAGCCATTTGGCTTTTTTCTACTTTAGATAAGTTACTGATAGACCTTATCCTGGATTATTTTTCAAACTTATTTATTTACGTATACATGTTCCTATGGAGAATACTGTTATCCAAGCAGGCTGTGGCTGAACAAGGAGCTCATGTGTATGAAATACAATACATCTTCTGCTAACAAATTTGGAGCAATTATATAGAGCGATCTCTCCCTGAATTTCAGAGACTACATGACACCTGACTCCAATACATTCTATAGCTGGTTACTCCAAGTATTCCCCATTAGCTGACATCTCTTCAGCCACATCTTCTCACTTTCAACAAATAAGCTGTTTGGGCCACATTTTATGGTCTAGAACACATGTGTCAAACACAAGGCCCGCGGGCCAAATCCGTCCCGCCAGGCCTTGCAATGTGGCCCGCACCGCGCTGTCATCACTGCACTCCGCTGCGTTTCCATCACAATGACAGTTTATGACTGTTCAGTAAACCATTCGGCCCGCAATTTAGGCTGGATTTTAGATTTTGGCCCCTTCTCTGATTGAGTTCGACACCCCTAGTCTAGAAAGTGATTATTTGACCCTAAAAACTGAATGAACTATAACAAGGAATTCCTCCGTGTCAGATCCTTAGACCCAAACGCTGATATCTTATTAGAAAGAAGCCATTTAACTAGTTTTACCAGCAGGATCGACATTCTTTTCTGTGCACTCAGGCCGTCAGGGATTACTAAACACTTTCCTCTGCCACAGTATTACCAAAGAAGCAATGTGCTGTGTCCACACCCAGCCGACCAGGGCCCAGAGTCGGCAAACCTGAGGTAGTCACTCCGTGACAGACCCACAGTGCACAGGATTCTTAAAACACCCATTGCTGGCGTGGAACCGTAGCGCCGAGAGGACAGTGAGGGGAGGACATGAGAGGACATCTCCCCTCAGCTTCCTGGCAGCTAAGGTGTTAGGAGAAAGACGTCAGGTAGGTGCTGACCAGTCAGCACGCCGTCTGCCAGGAAGCTGGAGGTGCTCTGAGAGGACCCAGGACGCCAGAGCAGCACACACGCCTCCCCAGACCTGGACGCGCCTAAAAGCACCACAGCTGCTCTGGACGGAGGACACAGGCTGCAGCCGCTGCCGGCACGGAAGGGCTGTGTCTTTCTGAAAGTCCTTTCTTCTTCAGGGTACAAAGGCATCAACCTGCCACTCAGGGGAAATGGAACGAGCATGTCTTGGGTGTCCCTAAGAAGAAGGAGTTAATGAAGCTTCGGAGACCAGGCTTTAAAAAAGGTTAGAACCAAGCAGGAAGTAACTGCTACCAAAAGTGATACACTAAGTTTTCGTCATGAAGGTAAAAATAGTACTTAACAAAACTGCATTGAGTCATTAAGTTCAAGCCTACCTACAAGAGTTTAAAATAAATTACACAGAATTTAAATAAATGACATTGAAAGAACTGTGAAGGTTTTGAACTTAAACAACAAAAAGTAATCCTTGCTCACTGCGGTGCCTCTAAGTTACCTGCACACCCATCGGCTACGCTCACTATTTCCATCAACGCCTCTGCCTCACTTCCACTCACTTCCACTGTGCACGCATGGACGTGTGCGTGGCCTGGCAGGAGGTACAAAGGGCTTCCCACACCACAACCGCTGGGCTCCTCTGCGGGTCTGGAACAGGCACCGTCACTGCTCACATTGCACGTTACCATCAGGGAAAAGCCCCCTTACTCCTGCGTCCTTGGGAACGCCCCCAGGGCCTGTGGGTCCTGGGCTCTGTCTTCATGCCCCCAGCACACCCTGCCTCTCCCTTCCTCCCCTCCACCTCACCACTCCACCTGGCAATGTCCCGGGCCAGGGGCACGGAAGGGAACACAGAGACCCCTGCCCTGAGGTGTCCCTGTGCTGCTGCAGACACAACGGGGAACAGGAAGACAGGAAGTCAGCTGGTGGAAAGCGCAGAGGACAGAGTGGGAGACCGGCATGCCCCCACCCCCGGCAGCGGCGGCTTCCCAACAGTCAGTCCGTGAACCTGAGACGCAGCTGGAACTGGCCTGCCCAAAAGCGCTGCTGGGAAGAAGACGCGCAGCAGCCGGAAGGGGGTGACGCTGAGTGACAGTGGCACGCAGGCAGCTCATCTAAAGCCTCTACGAAGCCTGCCACTGTCACCAAGGACACAGCCTCCGGCCCCGCCCGCCCAGCCTCCAGAGCCAGCGGGAAGTTCAGCTCTGTGAGGGCGGCTCCGGAGCGCACCCTGCTCCGGTGGGGACCGTCCGGCAGGGGCACGGCTTCTCCGGGTCACGGGAAGCAGAGTTCGAGTCTCACGGGATGCATGTCACACGCTGTGTGCCATCAGCAAAACACTGCCATGCACTCTGGGTTCGTCACGTGCCATCAGTATTATTGTCTTAATTGTTTTTACTTTGATCATACTGCAACTCTTCTTAGGAGCCCAGAATAAAAAGTTAAAACTTCAATTTTAAAAAATGATTTAAAACATAACTTACAACACATTTCACATACTACTGGAGTAATAAGCCCGTGGGGAGGATTTCTATTACTAACCCATAGGATCTCCATTTTCTTTAAAACAGCAAATCATGCAGTGCTGTTCCTTGGCCTCTTGTTTCTTCCCACTGCACAACATGACCAACACCCTGACAATCACAGTTCCTAGCGCACTTAGTCCAATGGCCACTCTGTCCCGCAGCTATTTCTGTCACAAGCCTGTGTCCACCTGACACAGTCCACCAGCAGCACACAGCAAACTACAGCCACCGGCCCAGCGGCGGTGCAGTCTGGCGGGGAGATGGGACAGCGCCAGCAGAGCAGTCAGGCGGATCCTGACCGCAGACACAGATCTCAGCATCTCAGCGCTGGCTCCCATCCCCCCGCTTATGTCCCCCATCTCCCCTCCATGTCTCCCGTCTCCCCCATGTCCCCCGTCTCCCCCACATGTCCTCCATCTCCCCCATCTCCCCCATGACCCCCATCTCCCCTCCATCTCCCCTCCATCTGTTCCCCATGTCCCCCTTATCTGCCCCCCATGTCCCCCCCGTCTCCCCCAATGTCCATCTCCCCCCCATGTCCACCATGTCCCCCCATGTCCCCCATCTCCTCTCCATGTCTCCTGTCTCCCCATGTCCCCCGTCTCCCCCACATGTCCTCCATCTCCCCTCCATGTCCCCCCATCTCCCCCCATGTCCCTCCCATCTGTTCCCCATGTCCCCCCTATCCGCTTCCCCATGTCCCCCCTATCTGTCCCCCAAGTCCCCCCATTTCCCCCACGTCCCCCACCTCCCCCCATGTCCCCCATCTACCCCCATGTCCCTCCCATCTGTCCCCCATGTCCCCCCATTCTGCCCCCCATGTCCCCCGTCTCCCCCAATGTCCATCTCCCCCCCAAGTCCCCCATGTCCCCCATCTCCCCCCCATGTCCCCTATCTCCCCTCATGTCCCCCATCTCCTCATGTCCCCCATGTCCCGCCATGCCCCCCATCTCCTCCCCATGTCCCCCATGCCCCCCATCTCCTCCCCATGTCCCCTATCTCCCCCATGTCCCCCCCATCTCCCCCCTTGTCCCCCACATTCCCCCATGTCCCCCATCTTTCCCCATCTCCCTGATGGCAGACACAGATCTCAGCGCTGGCTCCCATTTTCCCCCCATGTCACTTCTCATCATGGCATTACTCTTTTCTTTGTTGGTTCTTCATTTAAAGCCAAACATAACCAGTAATTAGAAATTACACTTTAAAATCTGTGCTGTGCTCATGGCCACCAGCTGACGATGAACGCCTCCCACCTGCCAGCAGAGAGCCAGGCGCCACTCAGAGCAGGTCAGAGGCTGTGCCACGGGGACACGTGTGTCTGCCCCCGAGTCCCTCACTGGACAACATGCAGTTCTGCTGCCTCAGCAGCCAGGGTCGCGGTGCCGCCACATAAGAACAGGGAAGTGGGCACAGTGTGGTGGCCAGGGTCTCGGAACTGAACCAGCCCTGCTCGATTTCAGGGGATCAGCTGGAGAATAATGGGAACATGACCAAAAGCCGCCAGTCCCAGCAGCCCTTCCTCCCGAAGGCCCCTTCCCTCTGAGTCCTGCGCGTGCACAGCAGAGGCCTGAGGCGCAGCCCCAGACCCGTCAGGTCCCCGCCTGAGTGCGCAGGTAGGTGCCAGGTTCCCGCATACCTGCTGGGTTCCCCGTCTGAGTGCGCCGCGTACCTACCGATGAGCCGTCTCTGCAGCGCCTCCTCCTCGAGGGCAACGATGTACATCTGCTCGTCCAGGTCCTCCAGGATCTAAAGGAAGGCCAGGCTGTTGAATGTGGCAACGTCACAAACCCCCGCTGATGAGAACACTGGCTGTTGGGCCTGGGACTCAGACTACCACTCAGTGATTAGGAATCTAAAATGCAAATGCTCCAGCTACTTGATTTACAAAGTAAGTAAAAAATATTTCAGTGTATAACTAGATACATCAAAAGCTGATCGCCACAAAATGTACATGTATTTATTGTAAATTGGGTATATTTAACTTTAAAGGATTAACCCACTCTGCAGTTCTCACTGGCAGGCACAGTGCAGACTCTCATGGTCGCAGGCTCATACAGTGGGGCTCCCCATGCCGGCCGCCCAACCCAATCCTCATCGCTGCTTCTCACATCACGTTCAGAACCAGAAATCCATACCGGCCCCCTGCCGGGCAATGCTTTCTCCCGGCACCATCGCAACACTAGAAACTTCCCGCCAATTCCTCACCTGTGGCTGAGGCCACCCTTCACAAAGGGCCCTCAGGAAACTAGGCTGACGAACGCACCCCTCACTGTCACACCAAGCAACACAAATAAGAAACAACCAACCACGACCAACAGCCACCACGTGGGGTGTTATCCGCACTGACTCCAAAGCGGACCCTGAGAGGCCCTGTGCTCACAGGGCTGTGCTCGGGGCACCTGGAGGACGCCAGGGCGGCACCATGTTCTGTGCAATGAACTCCGGCCACGCTCCCAGTTACGCCGGGACTGAGCAGCAGGGACAGAGCAGGATGGAGCCACTTAGCCTCTCCTGTCCTGCTGATGTCTTAGCCCTGCGATCCCGCAAGCGCCAAGTCTGCAGGATTCCAACGGCTCCCAGGACCTGAACCTGTACCGGCAGCCTGACCCTCCGGCCGGACCTCCTGACAAAGCAGAGCAATGAGCGCCCATGACTGCATGGAGGAGCCTCCTGAGGCCAGCGGGACGGGAAGACAGGCCTTCTCTGAGGACAGCACTCCAGGCCCTCCCACTTGGGAAAGGAGGGCTCCCCTAAAAGCCCTCGAGGAGGCAGGGGTGGAGGCCAGGGGGCTCCAAGTGTGTGGAGCGCAGGGACGGACCTTCCCACCTGGGCTCACCACCGCCTCAGATCTGACACGCACGAAGGACATCCTCATACTGCCAAACGGTCAGATACTGACTGACCCCACAGGTCTGCTGTGGGAATGACGGTGGTAGCAGGAGGCGGGACTCGGGGGGCGCAGAAGTGGGGTCACAGTTGCTACAGCTCCTGCGAGCATCACAGCCTTTCTCCACGCAAACAGCTGCAGGCCCACTTTTGCCCACCCCTATATTTGAGGTAAGAATTTGCGTGCATCGTGCCCTTGAGTCTACAATACCTTAAAAATATACTGCTCTCACCCCATCTTGGAATTGCCAAGAAACAAAGGTTTGAAGAAGAATCATCTGCCTTTGGAGCCTGCGCCTTAACCACTCGGGTCAGAACAGGCCTGGACCTCAAGTGGCATGTGTTCCAGCATCCAGAAGAGATGTGGTAAGCTCAAACATGACTTAAATGTCACAACAGAAGCTAAAGTACAGTTACAGAAGGTCAGGGGAAGAAAGACCCCCCCACCTCCGCCGAGGAGAAGGCCTTGGCCAGTGCTGCTGGTGGTGGCAGTGCTTAATTCACCAGAAGGAGGGGAGGCGCCCAGCCAGAGGTGACACTATGTCACAGTGGGAGCAGACACCTCGTGCTCGGCCACAGCGAGGGATGCTGGAGCTCTGTGGACAGCGGCACCCGGAGCCAGGCTCGGATCCTGCCCTGCCGTCCCCTCGGGCCAGTGAGCTGGAGCAAGCATCCCACTCCATGAGCTGCAGACAACTCAGCCGGTAAATGAGAAGCCACCCCCGAGCCTGCATGTCTGCCACCGGACGGAATGAATTACGTGTGCAAAGCACTCATGGCAAGCACACAGCAAATATAACGAGCATTTTCAAGATCCTCTTAGTAACAGACGGATCTGGGGAAGAAGCGTGGGAGGGGATATGAAGAAGGATGAAGAAGGTGCTGGCTCTGTGTGTGTGAGCGTGTTCGCACTGCCTGTCCTCACCAGGTCAGACATAGGGAGAAGTGGCCGAGTGGCCAGGAGAGCAGCGCGCAGCCAAGACCATGCTCAGGAGGTCACACTCTGCCAACATTTGGGACAGGAGGTGCCAGTGGAGAAAGAGGCCAAGATGTGTCAACAGATAGAGAAAGGAAGAAAGTGAATGCACGTGGGCCACCACATCCGTCTCCAAAGGCGGTGGTTCTTGGGTGGACAGTGTGTACATTAAGCGTGTCAAATCACAACAAATATTTTTGTGGCCCAGACAAGATAACGGTATATAAGAAAGGTTTTAATAAAAATCTTGTAACTTGATTTTTTACAATATCCTGTTAAGCATAAGTATTAATAACAAACTACAATGTTCGCTAATGCCTGATTACTATCTTCATGTTGCACTCATTTCCCTTGCGCGCAGGCGCACCATTTCTCTCCACTAACACCAGCAGAGAATACTTTCAGCAGCCAATGGCCACGTCATTAGTCTTGGACTGACTTGTTTGGTGTGCACAAAAGGAAATATTTTGCTTTCAGAGAACAAGAAAAATAGGTTTGTTTGTGTTACCTTATTAATTTGTGCAGTTATTCAGTGTCTAGTAAGTTAATGTTCAAGAAAAAAAATATTAAATTTTATTAAAATGTTCTATTATTTTATGTTAACGATTACTCACTTATTTCAGCCCTTTGTATTCAGCATGTCTCTATCAAAATAAACCTATGTTTCTATGAAAGTTGAAGCTTTTGTATGTTTTTTGCGGCCCACATACACTTAAACCTTGTTTATTTGGCCAGTGTTAGCCTTTGAGTTTGACATGCTTGGTATACATGGTATTTGCTGTGTGCACATTTAGGAAGCAAGTAAAAAGTCCAATTTTAGTTTAAAGAAGTAGGAAGAGATTGCCATTTATTTAAAAAGTCCAAGCCCTGGCTACTGTGCTCAGTGGTTAGAGCATGGCCTGTGCACCAAAGGGTCTCAGGTTTGATTCTTGTACCTAGGCTGCAGGTCAGATCCCTGCCCCAGTTGGTGTGCATGAAGGAGGCCACCAATTGATGTGTCTCTCTTACATCAATATTTCTTTCTCTTCCCTCCACTCCTTCCCTTCTCCTTTCCCTCCCTCCCATTCTCTCTAAAACCCAATGGAAAAAATATCCTCCAGTGAGGATTAAAAAACAACAACAGTTTTGAAATTAAGCAAGCATTTACTAAAAGAATATCTATTACATTTCCTTATTTTCTCCCTAAGAAAAGCGAACCTATGACCATAAAAATGTAGTAAATACCGTATTTTTCGGACCATAAGACGCTCTGGACCATAAGACGCACCAGTTTTTAGAGAAGGGAAATGAAGAAAAAAAGATTCTGAAACAAATAGTGTCCTAAAATATTTTATGTGCATTAAAACCCAACATCACAGTCATAAACACATGTAATTAACCCTGTAAAGTAAACAGCAGCATTTAGAACCATTTTAGAGCCGGGCAAGCACACAGAGACCACACAGAGCCGGGCAAGTAAAAAAACTTTTTTTTTTAAGTATATGTGTAGGCTATATTTGGACCATAAGACGCAGGGACTTTTCCCCCCCACTTCTGGGGGGGAAAAAGTGCGTCTTATGGTCCGAAAAATACGGTACTACTAGTAAGATACAGACAGATGGGAGTGAGAGCCGTAGAAGGAACTCAGCTACTTTGGCCGAAAGCAGTGAGGCCAAGTTCAGAGATGGCAGTGAGCAGCTGACCGCAGAGCTGGCCAGAGGCCAGTAGGGCTGGGGGTGCGGAGGCGCTAAGGGAGAGGCCCTGGGCACAGCACCTGGGGCACAGCAGGGCCGCTGAGTCTACAGTTAGTCACTTGGGGCAGGGAGGGCGGGAGGGTGGCGGCTACAGGTGCATTCAGTGCGGAGATTGTACAGCTGTTGCAGCACGCTGATAGTTTAGTGTAGTTTGTAGGCAGTGAGGATCCATGAGTGATTTGAGTGACGTATGTCCTAGATACTGCTGAGAAATGCTTTCATATTATGAAATATTTGACAAAATACCTAGAGGCCAAAGAAACTTAGGGATAGATTGTTACAATTAGTACTAATTGAAAATGAATATACAGTACTTCTGAGATTAAAGGGATATGATACAATATGCAGCAAATTTTCAGAAACATGATTGCTTTGTAAACCAAAGGGCCCATGTGGTAGATTTTGAAACATAACCATTACTATTTGATCTAATGAACAAACACCTACAATACCTGTAAATATTCATAAACCTTGTTTTAAATTTTTACGTGAGTGCCTATAGTTAGAATTTTAAAAGCAAAAACAAAGGTGGTATCCAAAAATGAAAAAGATTAAAATAAAAATCACCACAATTTGGGTCATAAACCCACAGAAACAGCCTCCTGCTATGTCTGCATGCACGTTCACAACCAAAGGCTGGAGTCGCGACACGGTTCCCACTACTCACCGCCGGCTTCACCAGCAGCTGGCCCATGATGGCGAACATGCGGGACAGGCCGACCGGGGTGCACACTGCGGGGAGATGGCAGACAGCGCTTACTGCGAGCACACAGACCGCCAGCCCTCACACCGCACCGAGCCAGACTGGCTCTCGGACAGTTCTGTCGCTGCCTCAGACTCGCGGTGCCTGTTGGAGACTCCTCAGCATGCTCCAGAGGGCTGGCGAGGTTGCTTTCTGTACTTGATGAGGGACAGGTGACGGCTACAGACTGAGGACATGAGAGCCTCTAGCAGCTGAATGATAAGCATTTTCACTTACAAGAAGTTAAAGAAAACCAATTAAAGGACAGACTGGTTTCAAGCACTAATGAAACTGAGAGGCAGACAAGAACATCTAAAAGTGAAACTATCATCTTAAATCCTTATAACAACACTTTTCTGTTTATAATGTCCCTGAGACATGTGGTAATATCTTAAGTAAAACTAAGCAAGCTTGAAAATAAAGACGGCAATTGATCACACACAATTCTATCATTACCATTCAAAAGTAGAGTCTAGTGTCAGAATAGTAAGGGTATGGAGGGCATGTAAATGCACTGAGTATGTGCATGTCTGTGTCTGTGTGCATATCTGTGCATGTGTGTGAAGGATATGTGCATGTGCATGTCTATGTGTGTATATGTGCATGTCTGTCTGTGTGTGCCTGTGTATTTATATGTCTGTGTTTCTGTGTGTGTGATCTGTGTGTGTACCTGTGTCTGTGTGTATGTGTGCATGTCCCTGAATGTGTGTCTGTATCTATACACGTGTAAATCTATGTCTATGTTTATGTGTGTCTCTGCATGTGGGCATGTGTGTATCTCCGCCTCCACCCACCTCTTACCCCAACCCTGTGGAAGAAGCTTTTCTTAGAGAACAGCACAAGTGTCTCATTATTTCAAAGTTTCAGTTTATCAAAATTTACCTTGAACATACAAAAAGTTAAGAGCTGCCCGTCCAGTGTAGCTCACTGGTTGCACATCGACATATGAACCAGGAGGCCATGATTGGATTGCAGGTCAGAGCACTTGCCTGGGTTGTGTGCTCAGTCCCCAGTGTGGGGCGTGCAAGAGGCAGCCAATTGATGGTTCTCTCTCATCATTGATGTTTCTCTCTCTCTCTCCCTCTCTGAAATCAATAAAAATATAAAAAATAAAAAATAAAGGGCCAACTTTTTCAAACTCTCCAAGCTGTTAAGAAATGTCATTGGAAAATTTCCCATAATTCTCTAGAACACAGAAGAGCTCTCCTTTCCGATCAATATTAAGTCAGAAAAATACTCACAGAGCAGCAGCAGACATCCCATGAGTGATACACAGGAGTACAAGTAGGGCAGATAGAACTCCCAGAGATCTGTGAAAACAGTCAATGTTTTAGTAAATCCAAAAACTGTGCATTGAGATAGAGGCTATGAAACAATGTACAGTAAATATCATAATTGCCTATTAGAGTCTAAACCATGTAATTTCTAAACAGTACAACAAAAAGATCTAAAATAACCCCTTTGCAACACTTGTCTAGAAGGAGAAAAAAGCCTGCGTGGAATTTTAAGAACAGAAACCAATTCACAACAAAAAGACACTCTGCACACAGGAAACGCCTGAGTATTCACTGCTTTCCTAAATGTCTCTAAATGTTTCTGAATCCGTAAACTAACAAGGGTTCACCACAGGAAGAACTATTTCAATGCTTTAAAAGTGAGTGGCGAGCAGGGCTCCGGGAGAAGTGGTTCAAGCCGCGAGCGCACCGTACAGAGACTCCCTGCTCGCCGCGTCCTTGTCCACGAGCGCGGAGGCCACCCACACCATCCCCAGGATCAGCAGCGCCAGGAGCAGGAGCATGACCAGCGTCTCCAAGATTCGGGCTCGGAGTCCCTGAAAAGTAAGCAGAGGCACGATTTTAATATTGTATTACACCTCATGGACAAGTAGGTTTCTAGCCACAGATAGAAAGCATAAAATTCCTTGGGAAGGGGCAGAAATTTATATGTATCAGCAGGAAAAAGCATGAAGTGCTTACAGTTTGTAATGTTGAGACTGGTTTTTCCAAAATTATGTAAAATAGCATTAGCTTTTAGGAAAGTACAAAAAATATTCTTGTTCCAGACATTTTGCAGAATCATCCTAAACAATTAATTACTTTCCTAACACACCAAGGAAGCAGACTACCCAATCTTGACCTGTAATCCTATGTAATCAAGAGAACAGGTTTGTCCAGGTGCTGGGCCAACAGGCCTCTGACAGCTCCCGGCCTCCAGCGCCCTCTAGTGAGCAGCGGAGGACTAATCCGGCAGAGAGACCAGAGATGGTCAGTTTATACCAGGGATAGAGATAGAGCATCCCCTTCCCATTAGAGACTTCTTCCTCAGGGCCAAACTAGAGACCAGATTTTTAAATTGAAACCTACTAGACAAGGCAAAACAAAAATTTCCTTATGTTCCTGAAGTCACCAAATGACTGATCTGAACTTAAAGATGCATATTGATACTGTAATGCACTAATCTACATGACAAACAAAATTATAAGTGCATCCATGTTTCTTAATAAACCATGTAACCTTCCCTTCCACATCAAAAAGAACTTAAAGATATGAGTTACAAATAAAGATAGTTCCTACATGCCCACTTAGCCCGATTCTGCCCTAAATATTATTTCCCACTTTCTGGGTTAAAGGTCACCCTTAAGATTGTTCCTCCTGTGTGACAGGGACAGGGCGTGTCGAGGCCAGGGGAATGGCTTGGCCTTCCCCTGGCCCAGGCCCACGCAGTGCCGGACAGAACAGACGGCCGCTCCGGTGTAAGCACTGCAGAGTGACTGCACTGGTCTTCCATGAGACAGTGGCTGCTTCTCCGGGGAGACGAGGAAGGAATGGTCACAGAACACACTCCTGGTTCACAGAAGAGCCTCACAGCTCTGAATCTTGCCCTGGCACAGCACTCTGCACCAAAGCACACTACTTTTTAATGGTGATTTCTTTCTCTGTCCTCTCTTTCTAGGCAATAATCTGTTTTTCTAAGCAAGAATTTTCTGTTACCCATTAAATATTGTGTGGAAAGCCTCTGAGTGAGACAGACAAAAAGAGTGGGTGCTCTGTGTGTGCTCCACGCTAACAGCTCCTGCCGCCCATAACGAGCCAGAAGCACCAGGGCTCCCACAACATGGACACGTGTGTCATAAGCACTGTGACATATGAGCAAAGTCACACAGGAGAGTTAACAGATAGAAACGAAGCAATGCTGCTCCTGGAATGATCTGAGATCCACTGACCAAGCCAAACTGTTTTAATAATATAGTATCTATTTACCTACCTACCTATCTATGTCTAAGCGACCGTTCAACTGGTAGCTATGACACACACTGACCACCAGGGGGAAGACGCTTAATGCACAGGCATGGAATCGTGGAACAGACTGATGAATCTCAGAGGGAAGGAGGGAGGGAAGAAAAAGATTAACCAAAGATCTTAGAAGCCTTGTGTAGATATTAGTGCACTGGTGGAATCCCTCAGCCTGGCATGCGGGGATCGGGCCAAAACCGGTTCTCCAACAACCCCCAAGGGCTCCTGGATTGCAAGAGGGTGCAGGCCAGGCGGAGGGACCCCACTGCACCAGGCCGCTAGTTGTTATTATTTTAAACAATGATAATGATGTAACCACAGTACAGCATAAGGGTTAAGATGAAGATCAATGTAGGAAATGACTCACCAGTAGCTCGCACACTTCCTCTGACATTTCTTTTTTTTCTTTTTATTAATATATTTTATTGAGGTAGAGAGGAGGATCCAAGATGGCTGCACAGATAAACACCTAACCGCAGCTGCACATACCAATTTCAATAAAATACAACTAAAATATAAAATGGACATTACCCAGAACTACAGGAAAGTCGAATGACTGGAAATTCTACAACAAGAAGGAAAGAGAAAACCAGAAGGATAATCAGAGGAGCTGTAAAAGCCTAAGGTGCGCGCAGAGAGGAGGGGGAGGCTGAGTGCCGGGCTGGCGTTGCCTAGCGGGAAGGAGATAAAAGCTCCAGATTGTGCCGAACCCCAGACCCGACAGCACTGAACCCCAGTTCTAGGCCAGACCCTGGGGACCCAGGCTCATACAGAGGGAGTCTGGTCTGTGAGGCAGAATCCCAGGGGAGTGGCAAAAGGCAGAGTCCCCGGAGGCGCGCACATTGTGCGCAGAGGACAGACTGTTGACTCTGCTGCTAGATTGCCCTAGCGGGAAGGAGACAAAAGCTCCAGACTGTGCTGAGCCCCACTTCCGACTGCTCTGAACTCCAGTTCTAGGCCAGACCCCAGGGACCCAGGCTCATCCAGAGGGAGCTGGGCTGCGAGGCGGAACCTTGGGGGAGCAGCAAAAGAAGGTCCCGGAGGCATGCACACTGCGCGCAGAGAACGGACAGTTGGCTGTGCTGCAGGACTGCCCTGGCGAGAAGGAGACAAAAGCTCCAGACTGCTCTGAACGCCACTTCCAATCCCACTTCCAACTGAACTGAACCAAAGTTCCTGGCTCATTGGGGGAGAGACTAGACTGTTTGGTAGCAGGCGAAACTCGAGGGCACCTCACTCTCAGAGGTGCTTGCAGCGAATACCGAAGGACCCCGAGGAACACTGAGACTCAGGAGCCGTATAGGGCGTGGCTGACGGAAGCCAAGGCTGTAAGCTCCACCCTGAAACTCCGCCCTATCCAAGCATAACACAGAGACTTTTACGGCTACCAACTCAGGGAAGCTGCGAAAATGCCAAGACAAAGACATAGATCACAAATGAGAGTACCGATTGGAGGAGAAACCAAGATGGTGGCGTAGGTGAGCAACTGGTCTGCCGTTCCAACAACAATTTAAAATTGAAAACTAATATGAAGGACATCTATCATCCAAAACCACAGGAAGGAGGTACTGGGTAGTTAATAGTCAACAATTAACATGATAATAAGAGCAATGAGGGACTGATGGGGCTCTTAAAATGTTACCAGCTGGAGAAATGGAAGAATAGCAGGCCCGGGGCAGCTAGGCCTGGGGCAGCAGCAGCCAGGCCCTGAGCAGCGAGGCCTGGAGCAGCCAGGCCTGGAGCAGCAGAAGCCGGGCCCGGAGCAGCAGCAGCCAGGCCTGGAGCAGCAGCAGCCAGACCCGGAGCAGCAGCAGCCAGACCCAGAGAAGCCAGGCCTGGAGCAGCAGCAGCCAGGCCCGAAGCAGCAGCAGCCAGGCCCAGAGCAGCCAGGCCCGGAGCAGCAGCCAGGCCTGGAGCAGCCAGGCCCGGAGCAGCCAGGCCTCCAGGCCCAGAGCAGCAGTAGCCAGGCCCAGAGCACCCAGGTCCAGAGCAGCAGTAGCCAGGCCCAGAGCAGCAACATCCAGGCCCGGAGCAGCAGCCAGGCCCGGAGCAGCCAGGCTCGGAGTGTTGTGGGGTCGAACCCTGGGTTCAAAATGAAAGGAAAGAAGGAGCAATGCAGCCAATTCGGGTACCAGAGTGTTATGTCCATCATCACAATGGACTCAGAGACACTCCGGTGTCCCTTCACCCAAAAGGACTGAGAGTTGCCCAGACGATAGCAAAGTGGGAGAAGAAAACTGAAGGCTACGCAAGGGACTGAGGTGCCAACATGGAGTCATCTGAAGAAATTAAAGACTGAAGTGGAAGCTACTTCTTTAACCATGTTCCTGCTCATGCTAGTATCTGTTAGCTTCCAGTCTTCTGCAAAGTCTTGTGCAGCAAGTCCAAGGACTCTGAGTAAATCTACACCAGCAACAAGAGACTCATTTAGTAGCTAAAAATATTAATATGTCCATAATCCTGATTTCTCATTTTGTTTTTTGCATTGGCATTGTTGTTATTATTTAATAGCCAGAGTTTTGCTCTTGACATTCAAGTTTTGAAAATAACATGTATGTGGTTTAGTTTTTACATTGGCAAAAATTCTGAAGACCAGAATAAACTGGTGAATATAATAGAATCAGGGGCAAAGAAAGCAAGTGGATTGATAATATCAGGGGGAAAGGGGTGTGGGGGTGCAGGAAGAGACTGGAATAAAATTGCATAACATATGGATGAGAACAATGGCGAGGGGAGGAGGAGGTAAGGGCAGAGGGTGGGGCAGGAACCTGGTGGAAGGGAGCTATGGGGGGTGGGGGGGAGGAGAAACAATTGTAATAATCTGAGCAATAAAGATTTATTTTTTTTAAAATTACACACACACACACACACACACACACACACACACACACACATATATATATATATATATATATATATATATATATAATTTTTTTTTTTTATATAGAGAGGAAGGGAGAGGGATAGAGAGTTAGAAATACTGATCAGCTGCCTCCTGCACACCTCCTACTGGGGATGTGCCCGCAACCCAGGTACATGCCCTTGACCGGAATCGAACCTGGGACCTTTCAGTCCACAGGCTGAGCTTTATCCACTGAGTCAAACCGGTTAGGGCTCCTCTGACATTTCTTAGTGGTGAGGCTTGTTTTCCTGGGTGCTGTCGGGGAGGCTCAGCAGCAGCCTTGGAAGACAGCCGAGAGTCTCTGAAGCAGAGCAAAGGGCAGAGGGTTTGCTTGCAGCCATTATGAATGGTGTGGTTCCCTAAGCTCAGGCTTCTCTTCTTGGGGGACAGGTCCACCCCGGGAGCAGCCCCAACCATGTGGCCTCTGGGCTGGGGTTGGGGCACTGACAGGAGCCAGCAGCTCTCATGCAGGAGGCCTGAGGGCAAGGTCCTCTGTCTCTGACCCAGGAGCCATCACAGTAGCACTGGCCAGTCAGTTGGAGCCCCTGCAGTCGGGACAGCTGGGTGACAAGGGTGGGAAGCAAACAAGGTGCTCTGAAGAGCACACAGGGCCATGTGGGGTGGATTATGGCCCTG